TTGCTTCATATGAAAATTGTCCTTATGTCAACCCTATGAGATGGGTGTTATTTTAGGACTGGAACCTGGGCAATAGCTCAGAAAGGTTAAATAATTTGCCTAACAGCCCAAGTGAAGGAAACAGGATTAGACCTTGCTCTGTTTCTAGAGCCATGTGGTTAAACACAACTCCAGAGTCAGCATCAGAATCCCTGTGTGCCTATTAAAATTCTATTTCCTGGCTCTGCTACCAGAGATTCCATATCAGGGGTGGCCAGTGCTAGGAATATGAATCCTTAATAATCTCCCAGTGATTCTGATGTGGTTGAATGAGAACCACAACATTTTGACAAACAGTCCCCTGTACTGATGCAATTGGCCATTTCCTTCTCTTTAAACTCTTCCCTCAGTTGCTGTGATATAACATTTTGCCCCACGGTTCCGTGGGCTCTCTGATCTGTTGTTCTTCATCTCCTTCTTCCTCTCCTGCCCATATCAATGCCCCCAGACTCTGCCCTTCACTTTCTCCTCCCTCCACTCTCCATTCCTGATGAACCCGACAAGCTAGAGGCAGATGATCCAACTTTGCCCTTCTAGTGCCAACCTCCTGGCAAGAGCTATGGTGCAGCCCGGAATTATTTTGGAACTGCGGTGAGGTACTGCCCAGGCTCTGGACAAGCCTGTGGGACAGGTGACATCGATCCTGGTATACCCCTTACCCTACAAGTACTCCCTTGAAAGTCTGTCCTCTGACCCACAAGATGCCTGTTCTCTGCAGCTTTCTAATCAAATCACTTCAGCAAAAGGACTGACCATTTTATGCAGTCACACTAATGTGTTAACTCCTTGAGTCATTTGCACTTTTAAAGACTTTTACTTCCTTTTGTGGGTTCAAGTGTGCTTTCTCGGAGGGAAGTTTGGGCAAACTACATCCCTAGGGATACCTCCTCTGAAACCCAAGAAGGGGTCGCTATGAGTCGGATCTAACTCGAGGGCAGTGTGTTTGGTTTGGTTTGGTTTTACTGGTTGAAGACTTCTCAGGCTTCCCTTAACAGGTGTGTGTGTTGGGGGGATTTAGAAGAATATGAGGGTGGAGAGGTTTGGGAAGGGACCCTCTCTTGCTCTGGAAATTTTTTGAACCTTAGACTCAAAAGCCGATGACACTCCTGAGAGGGCAGGGCTTGGCCTTTCTGCCTCCTGAACACCCCAGGCCCCTGAGGAGGGATGAGCAATAACTGCAGCTGTTGTAGATCTGTCCCTAGTATTGCTGAAGGTGAGCACAGACCTAGAAGTGGCTGCTAGGCTGACTTCCTGCCACACCCTCAACACACACATACACTCTGAATGGCTGACTCCTCTTATCTTTCAAATCTCAGCTTAAATGATTTTGGGGTCAATTCACGTGCTGCTTAGTTCTTATCACGTAATAGTGCAACACTTCTATTGGAAGTATAGATTGCTGATGTTGTTATGTGTCATGGAGCTGATTCCAACTCATAGCAACCCTGTAGAACCGAGCAGAACTGCCCCATAGGATTTTCCTAGGCTGTAATCTTTATACGGACATGTGTGTGTGTCCCTGGTTGGGGAAAACATTAAGCATTTGAATTCTAGCTGAAAGGTTAGTGGTTTGAGCCCACTCAGAGGCCCCTTGTAAGTAAGGCCTGGTGATCTGCCTTCGAAAGGTCACAGCTTTAAAAATCCTATAGGCAGTTCTACTTTGCACACATCAGGTCCCTATGGTCAGAATCAACTCAATGGCAACCGACAACAAATATATATGTGTGGGGTAAACATCTTCAACAGCACACTTTATTGTCAGATTACATTAAATAGTATAGATTTCATAAAGATGTACAAGTTTCATCCCCCCAGTCTGGGTTATACCTGCCCTTCTCAGCTAGCACAAATATTTCTGTTCAGGGCTATACCTGGCTGTGGCCTAGGTGGTGATCCCTCCAAGCACTGCCCTCCTTTCCTGTGTGTTTAAGGCTTTTGATACTTCCATTGAAGGAGTCACCATGGCTGACTTACCCTAAGAGATTCATCCTAAGACAGCTTCATAACCTCTGCTTCCAGACCACCACCACTGAAACATAGTTGTGAGGTGAATGGACCATCTATTGCAAATTTGTGTCCTACAGGCTAAATTCAGCTCACAGAAATGGTTTGTTCCATGTAGTGTTTTGCTTTGTTTGACTTAGGCAGTATTTGTACAGAGAGATAGCTCCAAAACCGAAAAAACCAAACCCACTGCCATTGAGTTGATTCTGACTCATAACAACACCTATTGGGTTTCCGAGGCAGTAAATCTTTATGGAAGTAGATTGTCCCTTCTTCTTCCTGTGGAGTGGCTGGTGGGTTTGAAACGCCAACCTTCTGTTTAGCAGTCAAATGCCTTAGGCAGACAGGAGGAATGCATAGGAAAGAAGGACACAGGGAAAAGGTAACCACAGAGAGGAAGTGGGAAGAGAGCTGTTACATTGTGGAGATTGCAATCAATGTCATGAAGCAAAATGTGTATGAACTGTTGTATGGAAGATAAATTTGTTCTATAAACTTTCATCAAATCACAATTAAAAAAAAGAAAAATGACTAAGATGCCAGTATTAAAAATCACTGTATTGAATCTAGTAATCTAGATTTCCAACTTCTCTTGAAAAACTGGTTACCCTAGCAATTTGGCCAGCATTTCTACATAGTACACCTCCTTTACATTTAACAAATGTCCTGATGATGGAGTATGTCATTGTCTATTGATAAACAGAACTATTACTTTGAGTGCTGTTATTTTCATACAGCTGGAGTGAGAAGGAGCATGAATTTTCCATTTCTTGTGCCTGACTATTTCCTTGAACCTATTTATTTTTTATGTATGTTATAATGTGTATAAGTGTGTCCATTTCCTTGTTGTTGTTGTTGTTATGTGCCGTTGGGTCAGACCTGACTCGTAGCGACCCCTCCTTGAGTTTCTAAGGCAGTATCACTATGGAAGTAGATTGCCCCATCTTCCTTCCGAGGAGTGGCTGGTGGGTTTGAACCGCCAGCCTTCTGGTTAGCAGTCAAGTGCTTTAGGCACTACGCTACCAGAGCTTCCCCATTTCCTACCACCAGTTATCATCCTCTGTTCCAGGACAACAACTCAAAGAGGTTTTACTTTCAGAGATTTTGTTAATCAAGGCATCATTTAGGAAAATTGCTTACCATTCATATCTAATTGCCTGGCCACATAATAATTACTACATGTATCCTTAAACATGCCACAAACCTACTTCACTGGAATTTCACTTAACCATATTAGAATGCTCTTTATGTGGTTAACTCACTGTTCCCCAATTATGAAATCATATTTTATGGTCAACTCCTATTTGGTGCTTGCTTGTACCTTATAAAGAGAAGTGGTTGTGGGTCATTGCTGAATGTAGACAGCCTGGTAAGATGGTCTCCATCTCCCTTCCCTTTAGTTGCAAGGTCAGAGCAATTTAGAGCATAGAATTAAATCTTGTGGTTTAAGCATTTTGAACATAAACATTAAGTCCTCTGTCTAAGAAGTTTTCAGATCTCCTTTCTCTCAGTTAGGGGCCCCTCCCTGGTGCTCCCATATTCCTCTGGGGCCTATTCTTTCCACTACCCACCCCATTTTATATTGTAATTACCTGTGTCTGTGTCTTTGTCCTACCTAGAGTGTGAACCTTGATGATGGGGATTGTGTCTTTTCCATGATTATAGCCTCAGGCTTAACACAGTCCTTGAGGAATGATACAGAAACACAGCACCCACAGACCTTTTTAACGATTATAGTAGGTCTTTCCACTTTGCAGATTCTTGAGCAAGGCATGGAATCTTTATACACACAGATATTATAAGACAAAAAAATAAGTGCATCAGTTTTCCGGTGTTCCTAATTTCTGCCTCTCATCTCATCTGACCTGGTAAGTGTTTCCCTATCTCTTAATCACAAGGCTCCTTACCCACAACTGCCTCAGAGAGGGGTTTTGATGGGCATCCTGTCTCTGTTGTCTTCTCCTGGGAGCAGGCCTGAAAATGACAATCAATTCATTTAGCTGATTAGTATATTGCTATCTCTCCACTTTGTCTCTTGAAGGCCATTCCAAACCCAGTACTCATTGGTACAACCTCTGTGGTGGCCTCTGCCAGGCACTTACACAGCACGTGACTGACTCTTTGGCCAACTTGCAAAAGATAGCTATCAGTCCATGTCTCTATTCAAGGACAGAGTTTTATTGCAGAGCTTTTTGGGCTGCTTTCTGCCAGATCCTAGCTTATAAATGTACAGGAAGTACAGGCTGACCCTGCCAAGTGTTAAAGTCCTTTGGATGCTGACTAGAGTCTTGTTCAGCACTTCCAGAATCCTTGTCTGCCTCTATCTCGGTACCCACTGATCACTTCTCTTTGAGTGAAAGCATTTACATGGCATGATTTCTGAGGCTCCAGGAAATCTCCACCTATCCATTCCTCAACCTCTTCTGTCACGCTTGAAATTAAAAGGTCAAAGCCTTCGATCTGCCAATTAGTCTTAAAAACTTCTAGGAGCAGTTAAATTTTCTAAATGCAAACTTTGTATTGAAGGACAACATACTTACCTAAAAGCATACAAACCATAGTTGTAAATGAACCCCTCATTTAACGAACATCAGGATCAGGAAGCAGAACATTACCATTTCCTCAGAAGTCCTCTCTTTCCTTTATCACTCAGTGCCCCCTCCCAGTCCCTTCCGCTACCTTCACCAGGAAAATCACTGTCCTGACTTATAACAAGATATATTACTTTTATTTGCTTTTGTCCTTTATATAAATGGCATCGTGTTGCATGTAGGAGTCCCTGGTGGAGCAAAGGGTTAATGTGCTCAGCTGCTAATGGAAAGGTTGGAGGTTCAAGCCTATCCAGAGTCTTCTCACAAGAAAGACCTGATGATCTACTTCTGAGAAATCAGCCATTGGAGCACCCTTCCATTCTGACACACATGGGGTCACCACCATTAACTTGACAGCAACTAGTTATGTCGTAAGTATTCTTTTGTGTCTAATTTGTGTCTGATTCTTCTGCTTAGTGTTATGTTTGTGACATTCATCCATGCTATTGAATATATTTGTATTTGCTCATTTTCATTGCTGTATTCCATGGTGTGACTAGGTCACAATTTATTTATCTGTTCTAGTGCTCATATATTTGTGTTGTTTCCAGTTTTTGAACAGTTCAGGTCTTTTGGTGAATATATATGTACATTTCTCTATTGAGTATACAGTAAAAAGTGAAATATAAGTGGTAAAAATATATGAGACATAGACTATGTATGTTCAGCATTAATAAATACTGTCAAACAATAAATATTTGTGGTTTTTATTGTTGTTGACTATAATTGCTAACTTGAGGTTCGTGATCAGGTAGGTTTTCTATCCTATATTAATTGTTTTTAGTTCAGATCATGTGATCTATCCCTAACATGCATTTTATTATTATTCCATTTCAGTTACTGC